TTCATGTGACGGGAAGGTTGAAACTTTTAGGGATATTCACCCCTCAATTAGCATTAATCAACATGATTAAAATCAACTAAATTATTCTCTATGTACAATATTAAGGACTTTTATTGTGACAATCAGAAAGGTCCCAACTCATAACAAGGTGTGTGAATGTTCAAAACATTAGTACAAGAGAAATAATGTGTTACTCCCTTTATTGCATTTCATAATCTTTCAACCACTGCTTTACTTTCATACAGAGTATTTAAAAACAAAGTAGTAACTTAAAAGGTTACATTTCATTACCAAATGGAAAATACAGATTTTTAAGATCCTCCTGTGTGTACTTGTTAAAATATCTCTTGACACGTGTTATTGGACACAGTCACCGACAAGCAACATTTGAGTGATAAACGTGTTTTCAGACAATGAATCTTGAATATTTTGTGCAGTGAAAGAGGACAGAGAACAGTTACACTGATCCCAGTGAAATGTCACTCAAAAGGACCTTCAGCTCATTCAACATCTACTTAAATCACATCTTATTGCAAGAAATCATGATTAAGTACAAACACAAGTCACAGTCCTCGTGCTGCTTACGGAGTCATATTTTCATAAGTGTCCTGGCAACTTTGATCAGAGTCTCCTCCGTCTACTTCCTGGTCTTTAGAGCCTCTTGAGTGGGAGATCGTCTGGTAAAGGTCAGCGGCTGGTTGCTGGAGGCTCGTATACGGGTCATCTGGGTCGTCTTCAAGCTACGAGAGAAGATATTCTCACTGTGATACTGACTTGTTACCACAGAAACGTCAGCTTGTCAATAAGCGGTTGGAGGTTAGATGAGGGAGTTTAAAAAGGTAAAGATGATTAAAAAGGCGACTTTACTCACAGAGTCGTGAGTCTCACGTACAGATGACCGCGACCTTTTAAATTAGAAGTCATCAGAGTTAGTGCACCACAAAACACACACACACACACACACACACACACATTTATTTTAGTCTCACCCAAGAAGTTTTCTTTTGCAGATCAACCCAAAGATGAGTCCAGCTACAGTGATAACAGTAAACTGCTGTGGTGCCTTTGAAGTCTCTTAAACATCTACTTTAACTTAACAAATTGTATCTAAAAGAAGTGTTTTCACCACAACGTATATTTATACAGTTAAATATGTCTAATGCTGCTAAATTATTCCCAATAGGTGTATTACAGTATTAAACTCACCTGTGACGTTTTCCCCTGTAGATCAACCCAAAGATAACTGCAGTTATACAGATGACTGTTGTTGCACCGATCAACGCGTTTAGAAGCCGCGTGTGTGACGTCACGCCGCTCTCTCTCTCTTCTTCCCCTGAAACATCGTAAAGAAAAAGCTCTTTGTCAGATACATGACGGCTATTTACTCTGTAAAAAGGTAAAAAGTATGAAATGGGTTTACCTTCCACGGTGATATTCAGATGGATGGTTTGCGTCTCGCCCCCACGTGAACACTCACAGGTGTAGTTCCCACTGTCCACTGGTGTGAGACCAGTCAGGTGGAGAAACACGGTCTGATTCTCCATCTTAAGAGTGAACCTGGAGTCACATTCGTGCTCAAAGTCTCCTCCGTGTCGATACAGCAGACGACACTCTGCTCCAGTCCTGTTAGTTCTGATCTTACACACTATGAGCGTTATGTTCTCTGTTGCATTGCTGCAGATGGGAGTGACGTCTGGTCCTCTCCCGATGGTTTTAAATTCACTCACTGCAAATAAGTCAATTGAAGATTACAAAAAACAATTCTCCATTTTCACAAATTGTAAGTAAGAGATTGCTATATTTTTAAAGAAAAAACATTCTTTTGTATGATGCATTGCGTGTTTGTTCTTGTTACCTTCAGAGTTAAAGCAAACCGGGAGATACAGCAGCAGAACAAAGCACAGTTTCCATCCCGACATGCTGGTCCACCTGCAACTAAAGCTGCGACTGAAGCTGCAACTGAATCTGCAACTGAAGCTGCACGTGCCCCGAAGGGAGGTGGACGTACCATGAATCTCATACTCTACAATAAGAGATGCGATAAAGGGAGTGCTGCTTCGGGAGCTTCTACC